GAAAAACGATATCAGTGATTAAAACGGTTTTTACACGAGAACTAATTTAGCTTGTTTAGCTTTAAGTAGCAATATTAAAATGGACATCTCCGTTTTACTGTCGGTGAGAATAAAAAACCCGCCCATGCTAAATTCGCCTTACGCTACGCGACGTAATCTTGTACAGCATGTTCAAAAATCGTGAAAGGTAATATACCACCGAAGACGTCGTGACGATCAATGCAAACGTATATTTGATAGGTTTCGGTAGATTTGATATTAGTTGTCAAAGACAACAGCATATATCCCACATTAGTGTGTTATACTAAAAGTGTAACGAGATATGTGAGTCTTTTTTTTATCTTTGAATAAAACATATCTAATATAAACTATAATATCAATAAATCACGGACCAATCTACTTCTATTTAAATACAACGACATATTTGTCTAGTGAGATGTATTTACATCATGATCATTTCATCAATTCGATTCCATTCAAAAATATATATACAGTGAACCCTGCTAATCCGGACAGGACGGTCCCCGTCTAATCGCCCGATAAGCCGGCATAATGAGTGATGGATATGATGTAATAATTGTTGTATTTATGTAAGCCTCGGATCCATGGTAGCACTTGGAACTTTGGCGGATTGTCTCATTCGTATTTACATATGCCTAACAGTAATCGTCCGGATAGTGGGGGTTCCAGACTAAAGAGGTTCCGGACTAAAGGGTTTCACCTTCTTCTGGGCTGTAACACAACTGGGAATGTCCTCTCTCTTAGACTAACATGTACTTGTAGTTCACGCAATAACGTTATGTGTAATGTTACCATCAGGAAGGGGTGAGAATGGTATACTGGCGGTGGGGATGGGTGTTCTAGACCTGAGGTTGGAATGGAAATGAGATGATTCAGGTTAAAAAGGTTACAATGGAATACTAGAGCTGAGAAAGTATGAAATTGGAATACTAGAGCTGAGACAGGATGACAATGGGATGCTAGAGCCGAGAAAGGATGACAGTGGGATGCTAGAACTGAGAAAGAATGACAGTGGGATGCTAGAACTGAGAGAGGATGACAATGGGATGCTAGAACTGAGAAAGTATGACAATGGGATGCTAGAACTGAGAAAGGATGACAGTGGGATGCTAGAACTGAGAAAGGATGACAATGGGATGCTGGAGCTGAGAAAGTATGAATATTGGATGCTAGACCTGAGAAAGGGTGACAATGGGATGCTAGAACTGAGAAAGGATGACAATGGGATGCTAGAACTGAGAAAGTATGAATATTGGATGCTAGAGCTGAGAAAGGATGACAGTGGGATGCTAGAACTGAGAAAGGATGACAATGGGATGCTGGAGCTAAGAAAGGATGACAACGGGATGCTAAAACTGAGAAAGGATGACAGTGGGATGCTATAACTGAGAAAGTATGACTATGGGATGCTAGAGCTGAGAAAGGATGACAATGGGATGCTAGAACTGAGAAAGGATGACAATGGGATGCTAGAACTGAGAAAGGATGACAATGGGATGCTAGAGCTGAGAAAGGATGACAATTGGATGCTAGAACTGAGAAAGGGTGACAATGGGATGCTAGAACTGAGAAAGGATGACAATGGGATGCTAGAACTGAGAAAGGATGAAAATGGGATGCTGGAGCTGAGAAAGGATGACAATGGTATGCTAAAACTGAGAAAGAATGACAGTGGGATGCTAGAACTGAGAAAGTATGAAAATGGGATGCTTGAGCTGAGAAAGGATGACAATCGGATGCTAGAACTGAGAAAGGATGACAATGGATGCTAGAACTGAGAAAGAATGACAACGGGGTGCTAGAACTGAGAAAGGATGACAATGCGATGCAGGAACTGAGAAAGGATGACAGTGGGATGCTAGAGCTGAGAAAGGATGACAATGGGATGCAGAAGATGAGAAAGGATGACAATGTTAGAGCTGTGAAGGGGGTGAAAAGGGATGCTGGAGCTTAGAAGGGGATGAGAATAAGATGAGAGTTTGATAAGACATGTGCTCTCGGGTCTATAAGACAAACTACATCTGTGTGCCTGGGATATTACCATCACTGCAACAGATGGGGGACTGAGAATGGCGCTTGCATTATCGCGCGTGCAGACAAGGGGGTGGTTGTCAGACAAGCAGGGGCTTGTCAAGGAAACATTTTGAATACAAAATCGCATGTGATTGAAAAGAACACACGCATAAACAATACAACATCAGTGCTTGTGTCGTTCTCAACAGCTTTCATAAACATACACGAATTACTATGCACCAAAAACCAGCTACTATTTATCTTCGATTTGATTTACAATTTCTTTCACAGGTTATATATTTTACGCTTCGCCTCTTTTCTGATAATGTTCTAAAATCGTATTACTACGAGATAAGACATGTCGGGCCTAAGGGGATGTTTGATACAGACATTTACTTTTGATTTCGCCTCCATCAAGTTTTTAACGTTGAGTACACAGACAAAGCTAGTTGCCCTTATTTCACGTTGTTTCACGAGTGAAATCTGATAGAAAGATTCCAGACAATAATTTTTTCCCCCTTAAATTCATAGCAGGCATTTGAATTTGCTGTATATTAATATTCATAACAATCGTCAAAATGCACATGTGTCATGATAAAAATTATGTTTTTTTTCCAAATGTTGTCTCTGTTTAATAATAATAAAAATATATATTCTTAATGGAGGAATGTACACGTCACGCGTATATAACATTTAACCTTATATTTTACTACTAGGTGGTACAATAAGCGTGCCACACAATGTTCCTCCGGTGCAGCGCCAGCGCCTGACAGAGTTGCGCCCCCTTGACCATTAGCTCTCGTCAGCTCCATTTTGCAGCGAGAACAGTCGGGTTCCTACCCCTCGGCGAGACTGATCATTATTGCGATATCTGATATGGTATTTGTAGGCAATGGTTCACTGATGTAGCAAAGTTAATACAAAATTACCATTTCCAATAATTGACAATATTAAGCAAATATTTTTAATCATATACGGGTAAAATGCAAATACGCCTCAATCTCTGGCAAATTTAACGAGACGTTGAAATCCTACATATTGTTCAGGTCAGGTTTGATTACAATAATTCTAATAATTACCCCGCAGTAGATTTTTAAATGACAAGCAACAAAAAATATGCTTCATTGGATGATTTAAGATGCACTTCAAAACTACATGCGGGTTACGAGTTTTATCAGTTGTCAGAATTGTTTGCTAATCAATATCAAGTTATAATTCTCATCTTACAAATCCACGAGATTGCCAACAGTGGACGTAATGTACACATGTAGCCAGTCAACTGTCAACTGGTCGAGTAATGAGAAGAAAAATCAGTTTTCCAAAATCGCCAGAGGCAGTGAAATTGACAATGTTCACCTTGCATTAGAACAAGCTGGATATGAGGAATTCGTGTACAGCGCATCTATCATCACGTGTGATTGAGTGAAATTGACAACCTTTGACGTGTTTACACCCGCAGTGTTGCCAATAACACAAGGAAGAATCTCCTCCCCCGGGCAGAAATCAGCACGCGCTGGCCTGAGGGTGAGGCTTCGTCGACCCATACATGCGCTTATCAACCAGAAACAACGGACTTTGTTTCTCGAATTATTGATGAATGCCGAAGGCCATAGAAATTATAGCGGTAAAATCAAACTGGGCGCAAGGTTGTGAATATACATCTCTTATTGTGTGTTTATTTAATGAAGTGAGCCACTTTACTAAATGTTTATTCAATAAAGAATAAGGAGGCATGGTTCGTTAAGTTCACGCATAGAATAGTTTATTGACCTGGATTAAGATGCGCGACGGGGAAATTGAAATTACCTGACAACATTTCATAGCGGTAAACTGACACAGCCAGGCTTACAATAATACAAAAATTAATATAAAGATTTCGGTTTTGAATTATAGTTTTAAACACATTATTAAAATGAACAAGCACGACTGTTAAACAACCTGTGTTGAATCGTTTCTTGATGATAATAATGAATTGTCATAGAGCTAAAAATGCATTATTACAATTGTAGAATGCTTTTACGCTGAGTGGATGCACTATATTTTTTTAAGTTCAAATATTTAAATAGATTGTATGTGTGAAATTTCTTTAGACTCTTCTTTATGACGTAAATCATGACGGCCGCGGCGGTTTAACATCATATTTAGGTGTTGAATTGGGATGTATTATAAACCCAGCATTTAGAATTGACATTCTTTGAAATGTCACGCTTTTCCAAAGACATCATCGTTGTTTAACACACCAAACGTACAGAATTGACATTCGTTGAAATGTTCCGCGTTTGCAAAGACGTTATCGTTGATTAACAACGCACGTTAAGTCAATGATGGGGAATTTAATTACCCTGAAAGTGAAAATGCAATTTACAAAACGGTAATATGTTTTTTGAAACAGCAGCTATCATGATTCATTTAACAGGGGTGTTGGACAAAGAAAGTCGATATTTAACCGGATATACTGGTCATGAGAGTTAAAACCTAAATAACATTCTCTGCAGTAAATATATAACACTGACAACATAATTACACGCAAAGATTGCCGGACTGTGGTTAATTTAACTTTTGAGATTATTTTAATATGTTGCAACGTGAATTTCCGTTTTGGCGCGTGGTGCGAGACCAACTTGCCTTGTCACCCTACATATACATGATGTTTGGTTTGTACACTTTCCGAAAAACATTGAGTAAAATTAGAAATCCCTGTGTTTCTAGCCTGGGCCTATTGGTGTAATTGACGATGATAAGTTGTTAATCATTTTCACTTATCTTTAATCACAGCAAACCAAATCTCCAAGCATCTGGCTTCTTTCACTTCTTATGGCACTTTGTCATGCGGAGTGGGCGGAGCCTCGTGATGCTGTCACTCAAGGCGTGTGGGCGGAGCCACGCTCCCGCAGCCGTAACCGATCGATAAAAGTCTCCTTAGCTTAGCTATCGCTTGCACCAATGAGAGAAAAGCACAGTGACGAGTTCCAATTATATGGGCGAAGTGGCGATCCTACGGTAAATACACGGTCGAGAGCTGAGCAATGATTCAATATTAATGAGGAAGGGGATAAGAAATATGAAAAGTGTGGCATGATAGGCGAGCAAAACGGTTCATGTGTCTCGTTGTCGACACAAGGTGTCTCGAGTGACCCAGGCCTTTGATTGAACAGTAGTACAGGCGAGCCGACGTAGCTCAACGCTCCATCTCTCAGTGGATATATAGAATACGCTCTCTACACACGTATCAAGTTGACGGAAATTTGGAGCCAACAATTCGCCAATGATGGCTTATGCTCATTTACCTTTTCCTGCCACGACCACAAATCTACCTACAACGCAGGTAAGACATTGACATAGTTTCGCGTATAGTTCACCTTTGTCTATATCATCCTTGTCTGCCAGTCTTCTCTGACACCGTCGAGATGTCGCGCTTGTGTCAACACAGTGACGTCATGTTGTTCGTGACGATTTTAGTTTGTCACGTACGCTCTGCTTTGTTTTACATGCCTTCGTTTTAGTCTGTTCTTGTAGATTTCAGAACCTTAGTGATATCAACAACTTTGTGATAAACCACTAAATGTGTCATCATCTCAATTAACTGAGCGCTTGAAATGCAAGTTCCAAACTTTTGTCACTTATGAATGTTCTGTCCGTTTTGCCACTAACGGGTCCAGCCGTCTGAATTATACGATCATTTCCTTTCAATAGGGAAATTAAAAGTTTTAACTGTTTTAACATTTATTAATTTCTAAATTATTCAAATATGTTTCATGCGTTTATTTAGCAATGTCTGAATAAATATTAAAGACATCATTCAACCCTTTATTATCATCAGATATTTGAATTCATTGATACATTTGTCACAGACGATATGTGCATTACGTGTCAAAATCTTTCCGGTTGTGATGCAGTTTCATAAAATCATAAATGCATGATAATATTAACATTTGATTTATGGGTTTATGTTCCCTTATAGATTATCTAATCTAAAATACATTTTTATCATTTCAATAAAAACCTTTGGATATAAATATCTATGTCAATATGTATGCTATTTGTGTTTAGTAAGTGAGAATGTAGGCACCCTTTTCACCAGTTTTAGAACGTACATATACACGAAAGCTTATGCTATCCCAGTCTAATTCAAACCATACACAAGGCTCGAAGTTACAAGAAACCCACATGATTTAAATCAGCGATTGTAAGCATGCACTTCTGATAACAGCAGACCAAGTAGAAGGGAATGTCAGTGTTAAAGTGCACAATTGGCTCAATCTGTGTTGTGTATTCAAATGCTGTACCAGGATTTAGCATGATCGTATTTACAGTGACGGTATTCAGATAGCATAACAGTAGCCAAATTATGCAGACGCATTGAGCATGAAGCCGTTATAATCTCTTACGACATGTCTGTATAACGTTAAACAGTTCAGTTTATGGTGATACATACGTATATGCAGTAGGTTATGTTAGACAGAATCACAACATTGACAGAGAATACCCGTCTCTTCTCGAAATAACCCAGAACGCCGCATTGCCCTTCCATTGAACAAGCGAGTCTCAGAGTGTTAAAAGTTTATCACATATTTACCATGTGTTCATTGAACCTGTCGTGTGGGTCAGTGTGCTCGTGTCAAGGAAATTAACATTAGTAAAACTTTTTTTTCTATTCTAACCGCATTCATTTCTCTTCAGATGAGCCCCCCAAGTTCTGCCCCGACCCCCCGGGCTTGCTGTGAGAACGGTAGGCCGGTTATGACTGACCCCCACACGGGCCAGACTATCTGTTCTTGTCAGTACGGGTCAGCTCTTCTCAATTCCTACCAGCGACTCCCAGGACTGGCGTCCAACCTACTGGGCGCTACCCCCTACAGCGGAACCGGTACCCAGGGTTATGTAGGACTTGGATCGGAGGGGTCTGCCTTCTATAGTCCACTTGTAAGTTCAATCTTATTTTCCACCCCAGCGCTTTCATTGAGGTGTGTTAAGCCAAATGTTTATGACCATGCATCGCCATATACGTTTTTACGATGTGGAATATCCCATCGAATGGAGCCTTGCCCATTGCGATCGCTCCAGGCTCCTGACGCGAGTTGACTCTGAAACTTGACTTGACCAACCACCCTAGGTGAACCTTACTGCGATGTTCGCGCCGCTTGTTGTCTCTTGGCCATTAGTTTAGGATCTTCAACATGCTATGAGGCTAGCGTGACAACTTTACTGTCACTTATGAGCATATCGCGCGGTAGTTATCGTGTCAGGGAGGTCAAAATTTGTATGATGAAGTCAGTAGATTTGTGAGTCGCCATCAAAACATTCAGTTCTCAGTGTGAAATGTAAATAGATATTGAAGCTTACTAAGAGGTCGCTGGCATGCCTATCTTTTATCAGGAACATCCAGTTCCCATGCCAAGTAGCTCCCACCATTAGCTAGACTTCCCCTCAAAGAGCCCCACCGCACGCCGGGCCTACAGGCACAGGCTTGACAACCTACCTCACGGGACGTCCAATATGGCTGACAAGGAAAAGTAGCAGACGACATCTCAATAACGCGCGAAAAGGCACACGGGCAGATCGGTTTCCCCCACTATCGCGAGAATCCGTCATTTTTCAACCCTTCCCAGAACGGCACATACTTGTTGGTTAGTTTGACACGTACGAGTCCACCGAGCAAATTGTTGTTTGAAAAAGTTGAATTTTTTGCATACATTTCACAAATTTCACACTCCCCTGTCAAGACCTTTCTAAGCGTATTTAAAGCAAATTAAATTTATTTACACCCTCACAATTATCCCAGCCAGGAATGATTTTTGGAATTCAAACGCTCACGCCTGCCGTGCAGGTTCTTTTTCGACAAACGTTTCACCACTTCCTATCAAAGATGTTGACATTTGACCAGTGTGTTCTCTCAGTTGGACAATGAAATGATTGGTTGCTGTTGTCGAAGCAATGTGCACTTGTACACGCGTGTGCTCTACATATCTGTATGGTACATGACAGAGCGTGATGTTTGAAATTTTATTTATCAATGAACGTGTGCATAATTTCAGTGTGGCATGTGAAAAAGTTTCTATCCTTTGAGACCTTTTGAATAAATATTAAACGTTCATAGCATTAATTTTAAAACATAAAGAGAGTCTCTGTTTAATTAAATTAAAACCATATAACATTAATATTCGACAAAAAATATTTATTTGAATTTTGATAAAAGGTTATCTTTCATTAAATAAACAATTTCTTTGGTTAATAGGTGTAATTTTGAATAAATTTATATAACATATGGCAAAGCTGATTTTATCTTATTATTAATAAGGGTAATTATCATATTGAAATGCGAAATCGTTACAAATGTGAAACAAGCATTTGAACGGCTTACTGTTATTTTCCTCTATAGTTGACAAAGGTTGATTTTGTAGCATCGACATCTGACATGGACTTAACGTCATTATGATTGGCGAGTTATGTATGTCTTGTCGCATGTCTGTCTTCATTAATATGTGCATGTAGATACATATTTATAGGTTATCTACAATAACATAAATGATATTTAATGTATATTATAGTTAAGATATTATTTTTTTTTAATCTGATGCTGCCACCACTTCCATATATTATTATTATTATTATTATTATTATTATTATTATTATTATTATTATTATTATTATAACTTTCAACCATCTGTTCAACCTAACGATGATCATCATCCTTGTTACCCCCAGGGTGCTCCAGGAGCCAACATGAGGGACGGGGCTGAGGCGTGGCGCTCCCTCACCCAACCCGCCTTCACATACGAACCGTCAGTGGGGTTCTACCCCTACGGAGCCGGGTAAGACAATATTTTTGTGTTTTTAATCATTTTTGTTTCACCCCCACGTCATCATCTTGTGCATAAACTTTTTTTCAAACAGCTTTTATTCCATTTCAAAAGTACACAGAGAATACATTATGGCAATTGTGTATAAACTTTTGTCCCAGATCACCCACCAAGTATTTAATTCCGTTTTCATCATTATCCGAATTAATTATTGTTTTATCGTATTTTAAACAGTGCTGATGGAATTATCAACACTTTTGAATAAAACATAAATCTTGAGAGTTAATGAAGACGATTGTAGAAAATTTAAGCCTACAGTGTTTCAGTGTCCCTATGCTGGGGGCGTTTATGTATTTACGACGGGAGTTTGTTCCAAGACATTTATGACTACAAAACTGAAAATAAAATTTAATCAAGCGTGCAAAGTCATACAAGCGTGACATGGGGTGAATATCTATCTTGGATGATTGCCTCCTATCGGCGTAACTCTGTGGTTTATGTCCATTTCACGGTTTTGTGTCCCTTCTTACTATTAACCTGTCGCCAACCTCAGATTTTGTTATGCAGTTCAGTTTGAACTTGTTTATATCACACAGCTGAGGAGAGAGACCATTGTTAAAGCGGGTGCTCTTGTCAATTACATGTAATCTATAACTGTAATCTGATCTTGTCACAGTGGGCTCTAAATGTCAACTAATGTTATGAGGATGTTTATTCTGAAATTTATATTATTTGTTCTTCTGGTGTATGGTTTTATTCATTTCGGAAGGGACTTACAGAAACAGGCTTACCTACTAGCTACTGAATTACCGTATTGTTAAAAATAATAACATATTAAAGGAAGAAAATCTAAAATATTTTTTTTTACCTTCAATAGTCAGTCAATAGATATAGAACGTATATCAAGAGAACTTTATGATCTTCTCTTTCGATGTACCATGTTTTATAGAAAGTTAACATAAATTGTAATTTTACTCTATCCTTATCATGGAGAAAATACCGAAGAACAGAAAATTAATTTGTTAATGCGTCGTGAGCCTTTTTTGAAGTCCAGTCTCACCAACCCGCATCTCAAACACCCCCCTCCCCACCATCCCACGGGTTCCTCATCTGTAAACATGTTTAACTTGATAAACATATGTCACAGCGTGTCGATATTAACAAAGTCATATCGTACACAGAAACCTACATCAACGCATATTGAATGCATATTTCTGACTCACGTGAATTCGGATAATACAACTCAAGTCAAGCGGAGAGATAACTGTATAAAGTTAACATAATGTACATAATCGATGAAAACACAGCCAATGCTTGTAAGTATGATAGGACGTGTAGATTTCAAACGCGTGTTCCATAGAAGCTTGTACATTTCATTTTTCAGCACCTAGGCCACGAGAAACACGTGAACTGAGCTTCACACTGATCGTGTTGATAACAGATGCATAAAAGGATCATATGTTAATACCTGGCACACCGCAGATATAATGCAAATATACCACAGCTGGCTAAATATCAAAATGTATGTCATAAATTAATTATTAACACCCAGAAGGTGAAATGGTAAAATTCTATATGCTTTTTCTTCATTCATTGTTTGTGCCCTTGAATATGCTCGTGGTCCTATTCATATGATTTGTGGATACGTTCAAGCATGTATATATCGGCTGATACAAATTTCAGAACAATTGTCGATCGATATTTTTTAGTCTCTATACCCGTATCGGTGTTTACCAATTATTTGTTTGTTGGAATTAATTAAGCTTAATTAATTTAGGCAGCGACAGAAATTGGCACTAGTCCCATAGCCAAACTGTCCAATAGTTAAGGTATCATAAGGACTAGTAGAAATTTGCCATTTATAAGGGTTTTGCAATATGTTATCTTTATAAGGACTAGTGGACTAAAACTGTTTCTATGCTGTTTAGGTACATGTATTTGACTCACAGTAACCTGTGCATTATATATGCACATGCGTTTGTAAGGAGTTCTGACTTACAGAAAACAATGGAGTTACCTCAAGTCTGAAATTTGCAGTGATGTTAACATGTCACATACAGTTCTTGTATGTACATACTGAAACATCCCTCAACATACCACCCAGACCTTTTGATTTCATTTATATTCATATAGTTCTAATCCTGTTGCCAGACGTAGAGATAACCCGCAGCCATCATATCCTTATCTAGAGTATGCGTGTGGGTCGTTGTATCACACATGTTGAACTATGCGCCTGTAGTATATGTAAGTAACGGCATTGTCCCCATCGATGTCTGCTTCAAAGCTGACAGACATTAGTTTGTTGATGATGTTATAGATATCCCGTATAAGCCTACGATAGTCATCTTCTGAAGAACGACAGTTCACGATCTGTTGACACGGATATGATCGCTGACAGCAATAGACATGTACATCAGGGATAAACACCCCTGCCCCGAGATGCAACGATTGTAAATTCACCCGACCATTTCATTGTTAGGGCATAAAAAGTAGCGATGTTATCGCGATGTCAGTATACAATGATTGCAACAGACATATGTAGATTTCGTGTGCATTTCTTGATATTTTTATGTCCACCAGGATACAGTCTCGTAAAGATTACAGCATTACTGCAATTATGAGGAGCTGATGCCTTTCAAACCTTGCCTTTGTAAATCACAGGGTGATAATAGCCCTTTGTGCCCTTTCATCGTAGTGTAATGCCTTACATACAGACTGTAAACTGCTACTTGACTTTTCTCCCCTCATGCATAGCAAGGCATTACAACTGTGATACATTTCAAATAAACTGATGTCTATTTCATAGCGAGATATGCCATTTATCGGGAGGAACATATGGGTGGGTGTCATTATAAGAGGAACGGATGCGGACTGCCATCATATGTTTGTGTTTAGTGTTTATGGGTCAGTGACCCCCCTTCCCCTAACTTGCCTACCCTCGTATCCTCCTAAATCGTCTGGCCTATACAGAGATGAAAATTGTTTCCATAAGTGCCCCGGTTGAGAGCGAAAGAATGAAACGAATTCAAATCATTATATACAGATTAAAATAAAAATACAACAAAGAGGGTTAGTAGTAGTAGTAGTAGTAGTAGTAGTAGTAGTAGTAGTTATGTACATCATTCTCTTAACGTATAAACAGAGTATGCAAATATAATTATTAACATAAAAAACCACCTAAAAACCATCAACGTCATCATCACGATTATCATCACCACTGAACTGGATCCTCAGTTCCAAAGCATCGGACTGATGCATTCCCTCCAAACACCATCCCTAATCATATCCCGCGGAAAGTTTTACAGCCGCCCTACCCATCTCTCTCCCCTCCCCACGCCCTACCTGTCTCCTCCTCTCCCCAGCGGCCGATTGTCTAGATACTCCACCAGGAAGCTCCCCGTAATGAATGTCTTACTACCAGGCGGCTCTTATTTCACTGGTGAAATAAACAACGAAATCTACACTGTCAAAATATAGGTGGACTTCCTGCGAGAGTGAAATGTATCCCACATGTCGTATTTAACTGTTACAGCCGAGCGAGACGCGACTAGAACGAGACACATTACCGCTCAATTATGCTTAATTGTCTCCCGTATCTCTGGGAGAGTTACATTAGCGGCGAGGGGTAATTTCTAACTCAAATTGGGAGTAAATCGCCTCAACGCAACACCCGGGTCATTTCTGTGATAACGACATTACGCGCTGATGAGCTTTGCGTTGTGGTGTCTTCCGCGATATTATGACATGAATGTCATCGTTAATTTCTCCATCCTGCATCTTCGCAATATACGACCAGTCGTGATGCTGTTTGTATTATTGGGTCTTCACAAGCTAATGTATATATAAACGCCCTCTGCCCCTCTAAACGTCCTTACCCTCCCAATTTAATGACTTTTACTCGAGTCTCGTTCTTCAGCCGTTTTTTCTTGGCTGTCTATCGTAATGATTTCTTTTTAAAATTTAGGAGTTATGAAGACAAAGCGTAACCAGTGCATAGCAACTAAATGCTATGTGAACATGATAAGAATTATCTCCCTTGAACCTTTAATGATGAATTGGCAATGCATTGAACGAATGTAATAAATCTTTAAATTCAAATCATTAAAAATTCTTACATTGGTGTAGTGATTCCCTTTGAACATTTTGATGTTTTAAAAAAATACTCATATCTCATTAACTTGATTAATTGGGTTCAAGTTCATACTTATGTAATACTTATGAATATCATTATTTGTAGATATGGCGGTCTCGACCTCAACGCCAGACGGAAGAACGCTACAAGAGAGAGCACCAACACCCTCAAGGCCTGGCTGCAGGAACATATCAAGAACCCCTACCCCACAAAGGGAGAGAAGATCATGTTAGCCATCATCACAAAGATGACCTTGACCCAAGTGTCCACGTGGTTTGCCAACGCCAGAAGGAGGCTAAAGAAGGAAAATAAAATGACGTGGTCTCCCCGGAACCGCGGGGACGACGACGATAACTCCGGCGACGAGCGAGATGACGACGATGAGAAAGCTGATGAGGGAAAACTTTGCGATAAAGGTGAGGACCGTGAGGCTGGAGACACACGATTATAATGCCACATCTGTTTGTCCTGCTACTTTCTCTTATCTTTCTCTTTCTTCTGTCGTGTCTTTGTCCTGCTCGCATCTTCTCTCTGCTTTCTTTGTTCTCTCTCGCCTCTGATTTTTCTTTTCTCTTTTCCATTTGGTTTACTTCTTTAATTTGATCTTTCTCGTTCCCACTCTGTCCAGTGTCATTATCTATTTTCTTTCTCCTCCGAATCCTCTATCCCCTTCTCTCCCCATATCGTTCTTGTTATTCGTTCTCCTTCTCTAAATCCTCTATCCCCTTCTCTCCCCATAGCGTTCTTTATGTTCTTTCTCCTCTCAATCCTCTATCACCTTCTCTCCCCATAGTGTTCTTTATGTTCTTTCTCATTCTCTAAATCCTCTATCCCCTTCTCTCCCCATAGCGTTCTTTATGTTCTTTCTCCTTCTCTAAATCCTCTATCCCCTTCTCTCCCCATAGCGTTCTTTATGTTCTTTCTCCTTCTCTAAATCCTCTATCCCCTTCTCTCCCCATAGCGTTCTTTATGTTCTTTCTCCTTCTCTAAATCCTCTATCACCTTCTCTCCCCATAGTGTTCTTTATGTTCTTTCTCCTTCTCTCAATCCTCTATCACCTTCTCTCCCCATAGCGTTCTTTATGTTCTATCTCCTTCTCTAAATCCTCTATCACCTTCTCTCCCCATAGCGTTCTATATGTTCTTTCTCCTCTCAATCCTCTATCACCTTCTCTCCCATGGTGTTCTTTATGTTCTTTCTCCTTCTCTCAATCCTCTATCACCTTCTCTCCCCATAGCGTTCTTTATGTTCTTTCTCCTTCTCTCAATCCTCTATCACCTTCTCTCCCCATAGTGTTCTTTATGTTCTTTCCCCTTCTCTAAATCCTCTATCACCTTCTCTCCCCATAGTGTTTTATGTTCTTTCTCCTTCTCTAAATCCTCTATCACTTTCTTTTCCCATAGCGTTCTTTATGTTCTTTCTCCTTCTCTCAGTCCTCTATCACCTTCTCTCCCCATAGTGTTCTTTATGTTCTTTCCCCTTCTCTAAATCCGCTACCCCCCTTTCTCCCCATAGCTTTCTTTATGTTCTTTCCCCTTCTCTAAATTCGCTATCTCCCTTTCTCTCCATATCGTTTTTTATATTCCTTCTCCTCTCAACCTTCAATTCTCCTTCTGTCTCCATATCATCCTTTATTTTCTTCCTCTTCTTGGTATCTTATATTCCCTTCTCCCTTTCTTCTCCTTTACCCTTCCGTTTACCTTTATTTCTCTTTCGTCTTCGTTTCCAAATGCTCTCCCTTTCTCTTCCTTGATTTCTCCCCAATGAATAACGACAGACTCTCACTAGAAAGACAAAGTTCGCATAAATCCCACCGGATTATTATCATGGATTTCCTCCCAGTCCCCCTTTCTTCACCTCACCCCCACCCTTGATGTAGTCCCCACCCTATCTCGGGCAATAGATCCTAGGTAGATCTTAACTCCTTTCCACGTTTGTCTTAGAGTATCACAGCTGGTATTCTATATTAATGCATAACAGAGAATGTCAATATCAGGTGTCAATCAGTGTCTACAATCTTCTATTAGCAATAGTCTTTATCAATCGCTGACCAATACGCAAATACAATTTCCATTACAGCAAATATAGGCTCTTTAGATCGATGAATTATTCAGAATATTAAGTATAGATTGTCCGCGAATTTTCCGAATCATATTTCGCATTAACTGGTAACCAGGATCCAACTTTTAGAAACTTAGTACTATTATATCTAGTGTCAAATTATGCAAATTTCTTTAAAAATAAATTTGCATTGATCTTAACAGGCTTTTCGTGTTCCACGTGAAATTTCAAAGCTGAGTATTCATTTGATATGTGCAAGAACAGCCAAGTGTAGATATCTTTCTTTTCATAAAGTACTTAAATTGGTCGAACAGAATCGTTCCAATCTCGCTGTGGCACGATAACCTAATAAAAAAACTGAATTTCAAAACATGCCCCATATTAACGCGCATTAAATCATTTGCATAAAACCACTTAGACAAAGCAAATAAGACCACAGCCCAGAGTACCCGCGGCAGTTGGAAAGCGGCCGAACTTAATACAGAAGTAGACGATTGAATACTGGGAGGGTGGGGGAGTGAGGGGGGACAGAAGTCAGGGTGGGGTTACGCATGAAGAGGGTGAAGGGGCGGATTCAAGCCTTATAGCCAAAAGAAGAGGGATCTAAATAATGTGGGTCAACGAATTTAAATCATACGAATCACAAAATTTTATTCTAATTCCTTTATCCTGTATAAACAATTGTGCCACTTTCATTAGAATGACACCGTTCTCCCGCATTGTTATAAAATGAAAGAAGGGCCATTTTAGGTCGGCTCAACACTCGCGGGATGACTTTCTTGGAAATCTGAAATTAACCCTTGAACACTGCACCTCGTGTAATAGACCAAGGTTCATTAAGGGGCCCGAATCCCTATCATAGGCCTTTGATAAAGGCCCCTTTTATCTGCTATGCGCACAAAGATTATCATTACAGTAATCAAGGACTTGAATGAACGGGAGACTGAAAGTTTTGGAATACAATTAACCCAACCTAAACAAACGTCTCCCGCAAGCGGCGCGTGTAAAATGCGCGCGCTCGTCACGCGCTGCTGACGTCGTAATGATTGACATCTTGCAGTGAAATTGACATCGTCACGGCTGTCGCTCGCTGAGGGAACCCTGCTGGGGATTTGTTGCCTGGTATTGACGGGGTTTGCTAGAAAGTTTCTATTGGGGGATTTGGTACATGGTTTCTATGTTAGGTTGAAATCTGGGAAATGTTAATAATTCGCAACATAAGTTATAGCAAATATAAAAATCGAACTACACCGATTTTGTTGAACAAGCAATGTTTTTTCGCACTCTGTCGTGAATTGATTTGTAGAGATTTCATACAAATCTTATAAGAGCATTTTATCTAAATAGGCGAAATTATTTTTTTCAAACCCACAAAATTGTGAAACGCATAAGGTACTAAGGTACATTCATTTTAAAAAGAAAATAAGGCTTTTGTCTGAAAAGCAACAGTATGCATTTGTTCAATCGCATTCACCAGGAACCAAATGCCTATGCTTATAAATACGCCCTATTATCAATTTGTATTTGTTGTAAGTAACCGGAAAGTGCCCGAAAGATAAAATCCGACAGCCAAAGTGAGTTATGTTTGTAGAGATACAAGATAATTTCAATCTCAAATAACAGTCGAGTGTGAAATATCAAATTTTTCAAATGCCTCCTAATGCCCACCCTCCTGTTTCCGACTGAGCATATCTGTAATGTTTACATGCCAGCTTTAATGTAGGATAGGGTTAAATATGGATGCTAATTATCCCCGAGGTATGATATCGTCTTACAGATGGTTCGTTCGGATTGGAACTCGGATGGAATTGGGGAAGCATATGAGATTGAATATGCTTTGTACATGATTTTGCAGTTATCTCTGAATTTTGGCATTTTTTGATAACATTTACCTTTCCTCCTTAAACAGAAATTTGATTGACGTTATGTATATTTCAGTATTTAAAAACACGTGTGATACAAATCTCACAGATATAGTAGTAGGTGAAAATGACATGCGATGGAGACTAGGTGATGGTAGCAATGGCAGGTAAAATAAAACAAATCTGTTCCTTACTTAGTCCGTCATACAGACCCTGAAACGAATATATCCAATACAGCCCATGCAAGTCTATAATGTTTGGCAAGTCTAGATTCTTGCAGTATCTGAAAATGAAGAAAGTTTCTGGGCTCTTTTTTATTATATTTTATAACTTTAATTTAACACCTTTTTTCTGTAAAAACTGATAAAGAAGTTAGTCTATTCCTTACTGTTACCATGCCAATAGCTTTTCTTGTCTCAAACTTCCCCCCATCTTCTCACCCACACAACAATACGAAATTGGGGCAACCGTATTTTTTGTGATAAATACCCCACAACTGGTCTATGAAAGATTGCTAAAACTTTCCACGATAAAACACATTAGCATCTGGGCCTCCATTGAGTCTTGACCTCTTCGGTTGGGGTACTGATACTGGGCGCGAGGCTGATAACACTGTTAAAGTTCCATCCAGCTAACGCTAAGATAGTTAACAGCGTAAGGTCGGTTGACGCGTATTAATCTAAAAAAGCGACTACAGATAAAGCTCCTGTATTAATGATGTGAAAACGTTGAAAGGTTTGACGGGAGCTTATTAACTGATACGGCATGTTGCTTTTTAGGATCGGAAAGAAACGTCTTGATTTCATATATTTACAGAAGGGTAGAACGTTTGTTATGGTCGATGGTTTCAGTAATGGAGCAATCATGAGAATCTTTCAGAATCAACAGGTTCGAGTGATGTCTCCGACCTAAACCATGTCATGGTTAATATATTCGCTATAATTTTGCATAATGACCTATTTTTTTAAATACACGTTCAGAATGACCGTTGTATTCCTTGCTCAGAATCGACTGCAACAGCAACGTGACGTCATCATAATTGTGTATAAATGTACAGACTGAACATTTAAATATTGTCCAGACATGTATACTGTCAGGTTACCGAGTGAATGAACGTGTGAGTTAGTGAGTTTGATTTTAAACCGCTTTCAGCAATATTCCAGAAATATCACGGCGGTCGACACTAGAAATGGGCTTCACACACTGTATCCATGTGGGGAATCGAACCCGGGTCTTCGAAATGACGAGCGAACGCTTTAATCACTAGGCTACCCGACCGCTCTTGGGTCTACCAAGAAGGGGTTTTACATATTGTACATATATTGACAATCGAACCAAGGCCTTCCGTGTGACCAACTAACACTTTGACCGCAAGGCTGCCCCACTGCCCCTATGTCTGAGAGGACATTATTTGATCCTGTTTTGACATGTCCAAATATTGTTTAACGTTAATCTATTGTTTGAGTATTTGTTCAAGAATGTGTGACCCACAACACCGTATTTTAAAGATGTGATTTTTGTCATTCCAGATGGTGAAACCAAAGAGGAGGAAATAGATGTTGAAGCGGATTTATCTCATGACCTGAGTCGTGAAAAACCAGTCTCAGACTCGAACCACAAATCCAAGTGTTCTGGTCTCTTTCCCGACGATGATTGTGTTTCACCTGTTCCGAGTGTGGGAGAGGATTCACGAAGTCGGTTATCTCCCCCTCAATCACGTGACTCAGACTCTTATACAAGTGACGGTCTCAACCAATCAGACTGCGAGCACGATTCACAGCAGAAACCAAAAATTTGGTCCGTGACAGACTTTTTGCACACTACGTCATCAAAAGCTGTGCCTACGTCACCCAAAACGTGTGAGAAAAGTGACTCTGTGAATAGTTCAAGGACATTGAATCTTTCAAATGGACATGACTTGCATACGGGTCCCTCATCGCTAAGTCCCCTCTTTACTTCATACCCTACCCCCGTTGGGTACTCCAACCCCTCATCTTACCCCTTCTCCATCACTAGTCAAGGTTTGGGCAAGACATCGGCGCGGCCGTCCTTTGGGAGATTCAACCCTTACCCAACAGCTCGCCCGACCCCCGCAGACTCGGTTTTCTCTACCCCACGGGACTTTAGCATAGTGCGGGAGGGTGAGTGAAACAGACGTGACTTCACTGTGCCAATACATGTATATACAGTCTCCTTATTTGTGTTTTATTCTGTTTCAATAAATTGTTGAAATCCGTAAGCTAGTGAGTGTCTTTATTTGTAGAAATTACACTTTGATTTCCTGACACAGTTTTAGCACATTTCTTAGACGCTAGAAACACGCGTTAGATGCAATGTAGCCACAACCTGAGATGTTCATTTCACGTGAAATGTACATGGACAACATTCTGTGAATATTTATGTGATAACAAAATGTCACATTCTTTATGTAGTCACATATTTCCTCACACAACTAGAACAGATTCATGACAGCCGTCAACAGCTATAGTCAAATAATGACATGTTGGCATGAAAACAACTTTGAGGTGACATTTACATCTATAATCAATTTCTGCCAATCACCCCAAGGATTCATATTCCACTAACTGTAACGTGTCACGCATAAGAGTGGCTTAACTGAGTAATGTGGGTCAATTTTCACATTTTTTAAGTTTGGATTTATGTCAAAATTTACACTTGAAGCGATAATTAACAAAGACAGTATCACGTCAAACCAAAGGGAACTTGGGAACTAATTGTATTGTAGCAAAATGTTTTCGTGTTACCGCGTTCGTAGATTATATATATTTCAGAATATACTGTTAATTATATATATACGCATAGATTGATGCTTATCAAACACCAATACATAGCCTCTCTAGGGGTAGAAACTGACATATATGTATTTAGTACTCTAGTCCTTATAAATATAGCATACAGAAAAACCCTTAAAAATGGCAAATTTCTACCAGACCTTATTTTATTATACCTTAACTTTTGAACACTTTTGCTCTCTATTTTGAAGTGATCGATTGCAAGTGCAGAACAAAACAAAGGATCGAGCCAAGAAGTTTATCTAACCAAAAGGATATACTTCACGATTTCTAATTCAATTTATGAACTTAAATAGTTTTTTGCGATAATTCAACGATATGTTTTTCAAATATTACATCTTACTCCCGAAAGACGTGTGAAGTTTAAGTGTTAATCTTACGAAAGGTGACACTAACGCTCGAATCATTGGCTCATTTAAAGAGTCTATCAACGTTATGTAACACGCGTGGGCTGTCTAAATACCAAGCCCACATTCTCGGAAGGTTAATAAAAAAATCAAGGTCATAAAAAGTAACTACGTAGGGGTCTTCCTTTTACAAGATAGTATCGGTGTGGCGTTCGTTCCACGTGACAAACACGTGTCTTTGTCCCTGCCTGTTGCATGACGTCAGTGCGGGTGTACGAAGTACATAAAGTGTCAGACAATTTATACAATTTAACACACGATCTATGAAGATTTCTAGTAACGCGTGTATACTATGTACGTAAATGCCACATTGATACAATACTTAATTTCAGTGCTAGAGCTGAGATAATTTTGACCGACCAAATTATTCTCGACTTGAATTGGACTCTTTTTTTAATGTACTCTCTCGGGTCTGGATTAGATATAATTGTTTCGGTGTCTGTATGACAGACTATCTAATGTTTCGACACCCAGATTTCGGATTTCTTACAGGGACCAAAGTGCCATTTGTTACAGAATTGGCTTTCTAGTTTCTAAGATCACTTGTCGAATGTTCTTTCCTTTATCAACGAATGGTGTATACCACTGAATAAACAAAGTATCTGTTGCAAGAAATGAAGGATGGATCAAACTTTAAAAATTGGATTAACCAATAAATATCAGTAAATTCGATATCCCTTGATAGATTTACTGCATTGTGGTTACTGAGAACACATGTATAAACCTAAAAGACTGAATGAATCCTCTACCCACCCCACCCTCAATAACACACACGCTCACACACACCTAATAACACACACCCTCACCCGCATACACAGAGGTCCCCTCTCTCACACACGTGCACACACACGCACACTAAAGAATATAGGTGCAAAAAACAATAAACACCATGTCAATATCAGTTGAGCTACTTCAAATGTGTAGATTTCTCCTGCACGAACAAATCATGCGTTTCTCTTCATAAACATACTCATTCTTCTTCCCCTTTTCGCGCAAGATTACCCCGAATGCAAAATGCCTTTTTTCCAAAGGTGTTCTATGGGTTTCTGATATAGGCAAAAATCACTCTTTATTTGACGACCAGGGTTAGTGTACCCAACCAAGGTACGTGTACCCTGTGTATACGATATGGGTATGATTTGTCTCTCTTTATCAACGCAGCACTGCCTCAATCTGCTGCCTCAGACTAGACCAATGTTGGAAGGAGAAGAATTGTCCGTTTTGATATTGATAACAAACAACATGATATTGTTTCTTAAGTAGATAATTCGATCAAAGCCACATTAATATAACGATCAACAAAATAATTAATTGAAACTCATTACTTTACCACACTTTTGGGACCATTTTGTTTTTGGAATCTTTTACCAGGTCTAAGACCTGATTTCCTTCAGGTTACCATAGGAATTGACTCCGGAAGTCTGGTTTATGAACCAGAGACTCTGGGGATCTGAACCAAAATGCTAAAATATCATTGAACTCCAGACATACTGGCGGTCCAACCAACAGCATCCTCTGGACAATTCCCACGTGACCTTTGTTGATTCAGTTGCCAGTCGATAACACCTCGGTTCACTAATCTGTTTATACGACCGACTGTTGTGCAGACGTATTGATATGTTTACACTTTATACTAGAGAGGTACACGTATATACGTGATACATGGAGAATGAGCGCCGATTTAACGCCGATTTGAACAGTATTTCAGTTTTTCGGTTTGTCATCACCGTACCCCTGCTCCTGGGTTTCACTGAAGTGGTAAACATCTGAGACCTGCATTACTTCGGGCTTTCCTCCCGCATTAAACTGACACGCCGTGATATAAGTGGAATACTTTTCAAAGCGGTGTAAAACCAAACTCACTCACTGTGCGATTCTATGTAGAAACTTTACGAAAGTAACGGAGTTAAGCTTTGCGCTGTATTGACAGTTTTCAGATATTTTACATGTATATGTGAGATTTCCCTCACGTCAACAGGTACACGAGTAATGTTGGAAAGTGTGAGCTCTTTGCTCCTTACATTCGGGGGTCTGAATCTACAACAAGGCGGTCAGACAATGTCGCCATTTTCTTATCACCCATCAATCTACTAATACGGGAAATTTCAAAATTAATACGGAAATCGACACGAGTACTTTGAATGTAAATATAGACGTTGATTCCAAAGATTTCATTTATCAAATAAAATGATAAAGACATAAAATATTCTGTTTATTTCTAAATTGTGAAATATGTATGAGAGAGAGAGAGGGGTGGGGGGGGGTGGGGGTGGGGGGGGGGGGGGGGTGGGGGTGGGGAGAGGGATGAGAGAGAGAGAGAGAGAGAGAGAGAGAGAGAGAGAGAGAGTGGGGAGTACATATATACATATTCCTGTTAGATTTATCAAGACTAATAAACGTCTTATTGTGATTCAAATATCTTTCTCATGCAGAAACGAGACTATATTTATCTACAAACATAGATAACAGCAAGAGGTATATAAGATTAATAAGGCATTTCAAACTTGAACACTATGATGATAAGTGGTAACGGAAAGCAGTCCTGCTTATGTCAGATCATTCTTGGACACCTGGTGTCACCGTTGTGATATTACGATTGCTCGTGAGAGGAGCAAATATCTGAATCGTCGCGTCTATTTGTCTAATCTATAACCCATTTCATACGAAAGGTGTTTCTAGATATCCAAAAGGACAACTAGGCGCCCATTATTCGTTAATCCAGAAGTAGGTTAACCAGGGCGATTTCACTAGGAACGGTGCCGTCTGGATTAACGGGATCCGTGTCTGGCATTTTTTATATATTTTTATTATTATTTTAATTTTAAGTAAAAGATTCCTAAATACAATTAAATCGGATACTTTAAATCATTTTGGAATTCACAGTCATTGATATAACAATCCCTCCGTGACCTGAGAAAAAATACTGATAATCATATCATGAACATACCAGACTTGTTTCCACAGCAGGACATCAGCACATACATTAAATAAGCATAATTATATATTTCTAACTAATGTTCTTGTTCTTAACTAGTGTTTCTAGTGTTGATTATAAAGAGTGGATGCACTCTTTATAATCAACACTAGAAACACTAGTTACGAAAACGAACACCTGTATCATATTGTTTATAGTTTTAAGTGAGTGAGTTTGGTTTTACGCCGCTTTTAGCAATATTCCAGCAATATCACGGCGGGGGACACCAGAATTGGCTTCACACATTGTACCCATGTGGGGAATCAAACCCTTGTCTTCGGCGTGACGAGCGAACGCTTTAACCACTAGGCTACCCCCGCTCCTTATAGTTTAAAGGGGCAGTGGGATAGCCCGGGTTCGATTCCCCACATGGGTTATAATGTGTTAAGCCAATTTCTGTGACCCCCGGCGAGCCATTGCTGGACTATTCCTAAAAGCAGCGTAAAACCATACTCACTCACTCACTCACTTATAGTTTAAAACAGAATTTTTTTATTGCCAACTTTTCCACTGAATTAAAGGTGAATGAATGCCCCATCTCACATAGGGGCGTACACTTTGGGCAGATATTGATTGGCGGACGATGCAGCGTGTTAACAAACTGAATTACAATTTTCATATTAGCTTTATTACATATAATATGCCATGCCCAAGCTTGAGACGGCACAGCTATGAGTTACTTTTGTAAAACCGACAAGATTGTATAAACAGCTTGCTGATGTGAAAAGAAAAAAAACTACTTTATACATTTCTATACAAAAGTTTCGTTAAAGGCGCTCAAGTTCTATAGACGGTAAATCGATGTCTTTCAGTCCAGTGCCTGAACGATGTAGTGTGTTGAAAAGAGACCTGTTGTCTGGAATATCCCTGTTGTTACCCCATTAAATCATTTGTTTAAGCGTTGCAACTGAGATGGAAAACAGCGCATTGTTTGCAACACAAAGACT